ATGTTCAGAGGGCGATCAGACTATAACTAATCGTAAGAGAAAGTTGGAGATAGAAATTACCTTAAAACAAGACAGTCTGTGCAGGAAGTGTTCATATTAATTCCTTCTAAGTGAACAGAACTCTATTAAAACTTGCTTTAAAAGAACTGATAAGAGTTTATGTTCAGATAGAGAAACCAGATAAGGATGCATTAAATCAAAATACTTAAAACCCATGACATTGAAAATCATCCGATTAATAAAAATAAAACATTTTTAAAACTTCTGTGTTCGTAGTTTCTTGTAGTTTGTAGGTAGTCATTCAGTAAAGTTCAGTGAAAGATTTAGTCCAAATAAAACCGTAATAATCTTAAGAACAGACATGGTAGCTGACAAGACATTGTTCTTTAAGAATACTTGGACATATATTAGTATCATAGAATCATAGGACTGGAAGAGACCCTGAAGGATCATCAGGTCCAGCCCTCTGCATGAGCAGGAAAGATATCTGGGGTCAGACAACCCCAGCCAGGTGACCATCCAGTCTTCCCTTGAAGACCTCTAGGGTAGATGATTGCACCCCCTCTGAGGGGAGCTTTTTCCATCGTCTGGACATGCTAGTTGTAAAGAAGTTTTTCCTAATGTTCAGCCTGAAACTATCTTCCAGAAGTGTGTAGCCGTTGTTCCTAGTTTTCCCCCCAAGGCCCCCTGGTGAACAGTTGTTCGCTGAGCCCCTGATGTACGCCTCTGATATAGCGGTAAGCAGCAATCAGGTCCCCACTCAGCCTTCGTTTCTTTAGGATGAAGAATCTGAGATCCCTCAGCCTCTCCTCATATGGCTTGCCATGCAAGTCCCTGATCATGCGGGGGGCCCTTCTCTTGACCCTCCCATGCTTTAGCACATCCTTGTTGAAGTGCGGCGCCCAGAACTGGATGCAGTACTCCAGCTGCGGCTGCACCAATGTTAAGTAAAGTGGGAGAGTCACTTCTTTGAATTTACTGGAGATGCATCGATTGATGCATGTCAGAGTTTTATTGGCCCTAGTGGCTACTGTCTCTCATTGCTGGCTCATATTCATGCTGGGGTCTGTTGTTACCCCCAGATCCCTTTCATTTGTAGTGCTGGTCAGGTTAGCGATGCCTAGCCTGTAGGTGTGCTGGGGGGTTTTTCCTTCCCAGATGCAGCACTTTGCATTTCTCTGTGTTGAATCTCATCTAGTTCTGTTCTGCCCAACATGCCAGCCTGTCTAGGTCTGCTTGTATCTGTAGCCTATCTGCGGGTGTGTCTGCACAACCTCATATCTTGGTGTTGTCTGCGAACTTGGCCAATGGGCTTTTCACCCCCTCTTCCAAGTCGTTGCTGAAGATATGGAACGGCATTAGGCCAAGTACCGACCCCTGGGGTATGCCGCTGCCCACATCTTGCCACCGATCCATTCATTTGAACTCTCTGTGTCCTACCCTGCAATCAGTTTCACACTCACTTGATAGTCCTGCAGTTGAGCCCGATATCTTCCAGTTTCCTGATCAGTACCTTGTGGCATACCAAGTCAAAGGCTTTCTGGAAGTCGAGATCTGATATCAACTGCTTTTCTCTTGTCCAGGTGATGAGTCATCTGATCATAGAAAAAAATGAGGCTGGTCAGAGAAGACCTGCCCATGATGAAGCCATGCTGGCTGTCAGTCAGTATCATGCTTTCTGCAAGCTTGTCACACATAGCCTCTTTGATAAATGTTTCTAGGATTTTCCCTGGAATAAAAATTAAACTCATTGGCCTGTAGTTTCCTGGGTCTTCACACTTCCCCTTCTTGAAGATGGGCACAACACTGGCTCTCTTTCAGTCCTCTGGGATTTCTCCAGTGACCCATGATTTTTGAAAAGGGGCTCTGCAACTACTTCAGCCAACACTTGCAGCACTCTTGGCTGGAGTTCATCCGGTCCATTTCTTTAATTGATTGTACACCAGTTCTCTGGCAATGGTGGGAATGGTGTCAATCCTACCCTGCTTGTTCTGTACCCTACCTGGCATGTTGTTCTCCTTGGTCTTGTGAAAGACCGAGGCAAAGTAGTCATTTAGGAGTTCCGTTTTTTCCTGAGTGGCAGTGACCAGGTATCCTGAGGCATTGAGCAGCAGCCGCACACTCCCATTAGTTTTCCTTTTACTCCCTATGTAGCTAAAGAAGGACTTCTTGTTGTCCTTGATTCTTGTAGCTAGTTTTGTTTGGTTCCTGCCCTAGCTTGCCTAATATGTTTCCTACAAGTGCGGGTGATTGTCAAGTAGGCTTCCTTAGAGGCTGTCCCAAGCTTCCATTGTTTGTACGCCTCTTCCTTTTTCTCTAGGATTGCTGCAACTTCCCTGCTTAGCCAAGAGGGTTTTTGACTCTTCTGCTACTTTTTCTCTGTAAGGGAATGGATTTTCTCTGAGCCTTAAGGATTGTATCCGTAAGGAACAACCATTCTTTTCGTGCTCCCTTTACCTGTGGTCCTTGGTCTCTCGGGGAATTCTCTACTAGTTTTCCTCCTTCAGATTTTTCTTTGTGGTAATTGCCGTACAATTTATGTGCTACCTGTGCTTACCTCTTCTCGCAATGGCTGAAAGTTGAAAGGAGACGCATACTGACCAAGAATAAAGTGTAAGTTCTTAATGAACAGTAACTAGCCATTGGAACAATTCACCTGGGATGTTTTAGCTTCTGTCATCTATAAATAAATATTTTATGTCTTTTTCTGGAAGAGATGCTATAGGTCAACCATCAGTTATCATCTTGATGCAGAAATTCTGGGTGAAATTCTTGCTTTATCTTATGCAGAAGATCTGACAAGATGATCATAAACGATACATTCTGGCTTTCAAACCTATGAATTGCAGGAAGGCTTAGTATTCCTCCCACTGTAGGGTTCATTCTGTATGGCTTTGCTCCTTTCTTCTTCTGAAAATGGCTTCCTGAGAGCAGTCCCCATGGTTGCTCTGGTATTTCTTGCAGTCTGTGTTTCACGCAAACATGCATACAATTTATCTAAACCACTTCATTTGTATTTCATGTAAAAATATTCATTGTTACCTGAATGAGCTGGAAATAAGTCCACAAAACTGATCAAACTACTGCTAAGATTAAAGGAATATCAACAAGTTGCAGTTGGCTAAAATGCACTTGAATGCTAATCCTATTAAAATGATCTAAGTATTATTTTTTTCATTTATTAAGTAAATGTTTGGGGTAGAATTCATATGTCTTGTCGTCTTGTTCTTCTCTAACCAGGCTTTCAGTCCTGCTGTCATCTTAAGGTTTTCAGTTTATGCAAGTGTTAATATTTCCTTTTCTTGGAAAAATCAGCTGGAATGTGACTTTAAAAAGTCAAGAAAAATGTATAGACCAGACAAGATTGTGCAAATCAAAATCCACAAATGTATGTTTCTTAAGTGTTTTAACTTCAGTTTCTTAAGTGTTTTAAGTCTATTGGAGCTTTAGGCACGGTCCCTTGATTTGTTATCCGTTTCAGATGCATTTAATAGTTTAAAAAAATCTTAATTTATTATTTTTCTTTCATAATAAGATACTTCAGGTAGTGTTTCTAGAACTGTGTTGCTTTTCTCAAATAGCTGTAACCAGGGACAAGATCCTACTAACCTCTTGAGCACCTGAGGGTATGGAAACATATATTTTTGGAGCCATTTCCAAAGGGCAGCAGCTGTTATGTTCTAATCCTTACATGTAGATGAGCTGGGAATGATACAAATATAGCAAAACTATTCCAACTTTAATACTGGATGAAGCGATGTCAAAGTTTGAAGAAGGGTGTAACATCACAGTGCTAGGGAGAATTTTTTAAATAAAAAAAATTGTTTCTTTCTCTCTCAAACAGTGTGTATAAAAGCAAGGCCAAGGAAAGGATAATGGGTAGAAAAGCTTGATCAGTAGAAACCAAGCCACTTTATGTTCATACAGAAAGCTAGCTTGAATACCTTACTCTATGGTGAATATAACAAAAAGCTGTATGTTCATACAAATGATGGCACCCTCTATAAATGTAAACGTCAGTATAAGCATTAGCCAAATTTCCTTAGACTGCAAATGAGATTTAGGTATCCAAATAAAATCTATGCCTTTATGTTGGCTTAAAAAGGCCATAAAACTTTACTTTTGCTTTTCAGATGCAAGTAACTACCTATTTAGAGGATTATATGAAGTTATACAGTAATATGAATAATCTTGGGTGTAATAAGAGCTATAGAGAAGGTGAATTAAAGATCGATCTTATCCTTTTTTGCAGTTTTTTGCAATTTCTTTAACTTGACATCTTTTTGCCTTTGGTTTTCATACCCTTCCCATTGCATTTTCTCCTTTGTTTTTTTTTTCTAATGTTCAGAGCTGTAATGACACTCATGTTGTCTGTCCTCCAACTTTTTCAGTTCCATGTGAGGGCTTTATTTCTGTTTGATATGGGTTGGACAGATTCTTTTTGAAGTTTGACAGTGTTGCTGTTAAGATAAGTGGAGCAGCCAAAGCAAAGTGATATAAGTGCTCTCTCGTGGCAGTCCCTTTATATAAAGCACTTCCTACTCTTTCTGAGCTACAGATAAAGAACTTTTTGTCTCAGAAATTAAATGGGGGAGGGTGGGTCTAAGAAATATTATCTTAGTTATTGGGCTTACTCTTTATTTCAAACTTTCTGGTTTGAAAAAAAGTACCAAGAGTTGCTTCTCTAAGGCTTTGAAACAGGCTGACTCAAGAAGAGGTTACTGGTCATTATTTATATTAAACAGATTTGAAAACAGTACAAGAAACTGCAGTCTATTCTTGTATTGTCAGAATATCTGAAATACCATCACATAAAAACAAGATAGATTTTCTTTTGATAGTTGCAGTATTTTGTAACTTTAAAATTTAAGTTTTTTTTTTTAAAAATTCAAGTCAGTTTGCTAATCTTTTAATTTTTTTCAAATGTACCTAGTAATGGACCTAGTTCCCTGTTTTTGAGCTGTTTCATTCCTTGTCTGGTGTGTTTATTCCCTCCATAGGAAGTCTTCGATCTTGCAGTTCATCAGACTGCTTTAGTAAAGTGATGCCTCCAAGGAAAAAGAGGAGACCTGCAGCAGGAGATGATTTATCTGCTAAGAAAAGTAGACATGATGGGTATGTCACTTTAATGTGGGCTAAGATTGATGAAGTACCTGAAAATATCCATTACTAATGAATAATTTGTTTACTATTACTCCTAAGTAGCAGCAAAAATGGCACTGTCAAATTCTGTCTTTTTTAAGTGTGGAGGAATGATCTTCTTCTTTAAGACACTGGTGATTTCGGAGATCTAAGTTCAGTTCTGTGTGTGTCACAGACTTCGTGTGGCCTGAGGGGGGGGAAAAAAAATCTTGTTTAAGTGCTCAGCTGCAAAAATTAGCATAATACTTTATCTTGTCTATTTGAAACTGAGTTTTAGGAATGCGGGCTATCTTATCTTGTCATACCAGGAAAGACTAAGAAGGCCTGAACTCTTCAGCTGGAAGGTAGAAGACTGAGGATGGGCATGATAGAGGTCTGTAAAATCATGAAGAGTATAGACAATGAACAGGGGACTGTTTTTCATGAAGTCCCAGAATACTAAAACTGGGGGGCACCCACTGAAATTAGCACGAGGCAGGTTTAACACTAACAAGCGAAGGTCTTTTTATGTAACATATAGTGGAACTCTTTACTAATGGAGCTCCTTACTACAAGAGGTAGTAGAGGCAGATAGTATAGCCAGGTTGGAAAAGGGACTGAAGAAAGAAATTCATGGAGGATAGCTCTTTTAATAGCTGTTAAACAGAACAGTCAGGAATGCATTGTCTGGCATCTCAAAACCAATGACCATGGATGCCAGGGATTGTAATGGATAGGGGATAGATCAGGATATACCCTGTTTATATGCTTTTCTGCTAAGGCCACTCCTGCCACTTTCAGAGACAGGATCCTGGGCTAGGTGGACCATTGGTCTCGAACACCTATGGCACATCTTATGTTTTTATTGTAATAATCCTCTTTTAAATATGTCATGTTGTGATAATGTTGTATGCCTCAGTTTCCCTGATGAGACTATACACAGTGAATCAGGGATTAATAGGGTCCATGATGTTAATAGCACTGCCTAATTACTGAAAATCCATTTTGTCTGACCTAGCAACAAAGGATTTGAATAGCTCATGCCAAATGAGCTTGGTACTCATCCTTTGGAGGAGATGCCCCAGAGGTATAAAAGGGTGGATACTGAGATAAGCATGACAATGGATGGAGCAGTCTCAAGAAAGCAAGCAGTTGGCTGAAGAGAAGAGTCCAAAGAGAGCAGCTTTTGGGGCTTGTCAGCAGTGTTCCCTCTAAGGTGTAGCGGTCTGTGAGCACCCTGCTTCGGTCTGTGAGCACCCTGCTTCGGTCTGTGAGCGCGCTGCTTTGGTCCATTCCTGAATTGGTTCTGCTTCCCCCTTTAATATTTAATATTACACTGTGTACCAGATGCATTCTTTAATATTTGTCTCCATCTAGTTAGATGTTTTTCTTTAAAGGCCCAATTCTACTTTTAACTTGCATTGTTGTAAATAATAGAAGAAACTAGCTGTAATACCCACATGCTACCTTGTAATCATGTCGATGTGGCCAGGATTAAGACTTAATTAATACTTAAATATGGGCAAGCATTTGAGTTCTCTGTCTTCAGTTACCAAAGAGCTGACTTTGTCTCCAGTACCTTTGTTACATGAAGTGTGTGTACCTCCCTGTCATGTCTCTTGGACCCACATGCAGGCTGCACTCTGCCTCCTCCCCACCTCTGTGCCTCACTGCAGCCTTTGAAAGTGGTGTGGTGCCATGTGTGTCCTGCCGCTGGACAGATCAGGCAGCGAGGCACATGGTATCACTTTCAAAGGCTGCAGGGAGTAGGCAGAGCGCAGAAGACCTGTGGGGCTGCCGGGCTTTGGCGCAAGAGCTGTGGGGCTTGCGGCACAGGGATGAAAGTTTAAGTTTAGGGTGAAGCCAGTGGGGCTTGGGGCGAAGCTTGCCTGAAGGGGCTGGGGACTGGAGCAGTTTCCTGGAGCCAGTGGAGCCCGTGTGTTGCCGGGATTGGTCCCTGCCTCTGCCTTGCCTTGGGGAGGAGCCGCTGCCTGCTCCACGCTGCAGGCATGGAGGAGGAAGGGGCAGGGGTGGTGATTACCCACTGATCAGCGGCCCAGCCCCTCATGGGCTGCTCTGGCCGGGGCTGCGCTCTCCCTCCCCACGGGAATGCCGGTGAGGAGCAAAGTGGAGGGAAGCAGCCCCTGCAGTAGCCCTTGTGTGCGGCATTAAAAAGTTACTGTGTGGCAACATTTTTTTATTGTGCGCAGTTGCGGACACGTACAGCTTAGAGGGAGCCTTGCTAGTCAAGTAGATAGGAGAGAGAAGAGCTATGTTAACTGGACGTGTTCAGGGTTGTACAGGCTGGACTTGGACCAGAACTAATTCTGCCTTTAAAAAAGGCAGAGAAGCTCTGGTTCTGTAATCTTTACTCCAATAAATGCCTTGATTGAAGAAGAGTTGTCTGTTTTGCTGCTTCAGATGTTTAGGTACTTGGAGACTGGACAAGGCCAAGAGGGTCCCAGGCAAGCACTCCTCTTGTAGGGGGAACCCCATTGCACTCTTGTTATAAAATGAAGTGGTGTCCTGGGCATTGGCACCAGATGACTTAAATTGTTGCATGAGCTGGAGCTGCGGTGCATACTGGTGAGACTCTGGATAAGTAAATTTGAATGATGCCAGAACTTCTGCCAGTTGTTTGGTATTCTGTCATCTTCAGGCCCAGTCAAGATTGCCTTTACCAGTAATGAGGACCTACTAGAACCACTTAAGCCTTGTGGCTGACACGAGTGATTTTAATACCAGCAGTAAAACAATTCAGATACCACTGCTTCCACAGTCACCCAACCCAGGTTCTTCTGACATGTAATTTGTATGAGACAAATAGACATTAAGTATCTAAAAAGCTGAAACATTTTGATTTCCTGGATCCTCCTTTTTCCCTTTCATAAAGCTGAGCACTGTATTTGCCCTTTTCCAATCATCTGGGACCTCTCCTAATTGCTGTGATTTTTGAGAGAGAGTGGCCAGTGGCTCTGAAGTCGCATCAGCCAACTCCCTCAGCAGCCTCAGGTGCATTGTGTCCAGCCCAATGTACTTATACACGTCCAGCCTTTCTAAATAATCCCTAAACTGTTCTTTCACCACTGTTGGCTGCTCACTTTTTCCCCAAACTGTGCTACCAGGTGCAGTAGTCTGGGAGCTGACCTTGTCTGTAAAGATTGAGGTAAAAAAGGCATAGACTACTTCAGCCTTTTCTGCATCATCCGTCACTAGGATGCCTCCCCCATTCAATAAGGGACCCATACTTTCCCTGACTTGCCACTTGTTGTTGACATACTTGTAGAAACCCTTCTTGTTACCTTTCATGTCCCTTGCTAGCTGCAACTCCAGTTGCACTTTGTCCTTCCTGATTTCATTCCCTGCATGCCTGAGCAATACTGTTCTACTCCTCCCTAGTTGTTTGTCCAAGTTTCCACTGTGTGTAAGCTTCCTTTGTGTGTTTTAGCTCACTGAAGAATTCCTGACTAAAGCAAGCTGGTCTTCTGCCATACTTGCTAGTCTTCCTGCACATTGAGATGGTTTGTTCCTGCTCCCCCAGTAAGCTTTCTTTAAAGGTTTTCTATAAAGCCCCCTCATGACAATGGGAGAAGAATAAGAAAATAACTAGTGGTCAAGATAGGCTTGCAGGTAGCAATTGATGTCATAGTTACATTCATGGTCAGCACACTGACTATGCATTAATCAGCGAGCGTCTCAAGAAAGGTGCAGGCCATGATGGAGTACTTGTCCTTTTAGGACTCAGAGCTGTTCAGGATGTGCTGTCTAGGGCAGTGGTGTTCAACCCTTTGGTCCCTATGGACCAGATGAGTGGTTCAGGGCTGGTCTGTGGGCTGGATCAGGCTCCATGATGCCTTGGCCCAACCTCTGTACACCTGGATTGGGCCCTGCACTGGTCTTGCATACTGGGATTCATGCAAAGCTGGAGACCATTCCTTGTGCACCGGGAAAGGTCCCCCCACAGTCCCACATGCTAGGTTTGGGCCTTGCCATGGCACACTGCCGCCACCCGGCCCTGTGTGCCAGTACTGTGCTCCGCTTCCTGGGATTCAGCCTCATGGTGCCCTGCACACCCCATCTAGCACACAGGCCCATACTGTCTGGCTTGCAGAGTTTCCCCATGTGTCCAAAAAGTTGGCAGTAGGGGAGCAGCAATTAATGCTGCCACTGCTTCCCTGCCACCAAATACTTTGTACCTGAGGGAAGCCCTGCAGGTCAGATGATATGGCTCTTTGGGCTGGATCTGGCCTGTGGGACGGGGATTGAGCACTCATGCTCTAGCGATACCTATACCTAGGCATCCTTTGGACCCAGCTATATCATCCCTGCCACAGCCAAGATAGTGAATAACACCCTGCAACCCCAGACTGATGTAATATTCCAGAAAACTCAAGCTGAAACGAGGGCCACTGGTTTCCTCTTCCCTGCCAGTGTGTGGAACGTCTTCAGTACATTGGTATGTTACTTAACTGCCAAACTGTTAGAGTTATTTTAGAGAACATGACTTCTGGAAGCCCATTTTCGTGTTCCATCGGGGATAGTCTGCCTAGATATAAAACAGATGGACCTCTAAAGATTGCTGTCCATGGTAACCCTTTCCTATCCTATTCTACTCATTTTGTACTCGCCCTAAATCCTTGTCAATCCTCAGAGATCCTTATCACAGAAGTGTGGATTTGTTTCTTCTAGAAGTCATGGAAGCTTCTCCAGATATTTCTTTATTCCGAAGTATAAATTGGTCTTTATCATACTCTAAAAGCTGAGGAAACTCAACAAAGACATACGTCACCCTAGGTTCAGAAAATACTTCTCTTTCATTCTATCTCCCCCAGCTCAATACTAGTTTGCAACTCTCAGCTGACAGGATGTGAACTTCCTCTTTGCAATCCACCTAGGTCAAAAAAAGTACCTAAGATTCACATTGGACCAAACCATTATTAACATAGTTCTGCTCTTTTGACTCTGGACAGTGTAGTGTTTTTACTAAATACCTGACCAAAGTGGTAATTTAAGGTTGTGGAGAATGCATATCCACCTATACTGGGATCCGTGTGCCCTTTCTCTGTTCTTAGAACTAACACTCCTGCTGCACCATAAGAACTTATCATCTGTTTATGGGTCTGAGTGACAGTTTTAAAATAACTATGATTAGCTCCAGACCAACAGGAACTGATCTGTCTGCCTGAGTACTAGTTTTGAGATTTGTAGTCATTGATAAAATTGCTTACAGGGAGATCTGATGATGCTGTGTCAGAGGCTGCTAGTTCGTATGTTGACATGTGCCTATGGATGCTTGTCATGAGGCCTGCAGTTTTTGTCAGCTGTGGCTGAGATCAGTGCATTTCTGTCCAGGCATTGCATGATCCAGAGACAATGTCCTATGTTGAATCCCAAGTGAATTCACTTGGTGGCTGGACCCACCAAATGAATGTACAAAAGGGCTGCCATTCTTTGTCTTATCTCTGAGTCTCTCATGGATGTCTTGGAGTCAGATGGGAGTCCATTTGAAGATGCAACAGGTGTGGTTCCAGGAAGATTGTCTGGCACTACCTTACTGCTTCTGCTTACCCATGTCCTGCTGATTCCTATCTCCAGTGAGAAAGGCAGTGGCTGCAGTAAAGGGGGTCTATGTTACTTCGTGTCTGTTGGATACACCAACACCTCCCTCTCACAGCAGCAGCATATCCCATAGGGAGTGGGGTGGGGGAGCATGAGGCTCATGTGTGGCCTGGGGCTACTGGGGTGGGGGCCCCCCCCCCCCCCCCCCCAAACTCATAGCTACACTGCCAGCTGCAGTAAAATCTTCCATTAGCTAGATCCAGTCTTTTTATTCATTGAATCCAGCCCAAGGACAGTATGTTACCACCCCCTGCCCTACGGAATAAAAATTTCTCTAGGACCTTGTTCATATTTGCCATTTATTTAGGAACCACAGTCTGTTGGAATCTGTGTCCTAATTGCCCACCCCTGCTCTAAGAGGACTATGATTTCGGGCAGAGGGCTGCTTACCAAGTTTTGGCAAGCTATCAAGGGCCATATGGGTAGCCCCGTCCCTTGACAGGTGCCCCACCCCCTGGTCACCATCTTGGGACCAGATGTCCTGCCCATAACCTCTGACCTTTGCCACCTGAAGTGTCCCTCCCCTTACCCCTGGAAGTACTCCTTTGGGGAAGAGGGTTTGCTATCTTAAGGGAAAAAAAACCAAATTACATACTAAAAATCAAACACCCATAATAATATATTTTAATTTAATTTAAATAAATATTTTTGTCCTGATTTGTGTGCGTTTGTAGTGTATATGCAGAAGTGATTGCATATGGGGTTTGTGGGGATGTGTGCGTGTGAATACGGATATGGGTAAGGGAGCCATGTAGTGCGGAGTGGCCAGTGGGGCAGGAAAGTGGGGAAAGCGGTGGAGGGGAAGGGAAGCGAGTGTGGGGCCAATGTCTGGTGGGCAGGCAGAAAAGTGGAGAAAGTGGCAGTGGGCAGGAGTGTGAGACCAATGTCATGGGGCCAGCTATGGCAGGGCCCAGAGTGAGGCGGTAGGAGTGTGGGGTGCAGGCTGGTAGGGGTCTGTGGAGCTGGGCTGTGCTGCACCAGCAGGGAGCAGGGGAGCTGGCTTGGCTCCATAGAGCCCCTGTTGGCCGGGACCCTATGCTCCTGCCACCCTGCTCTGGGCCCTGCCGGCGCTGGCCCCAGGACACCAGTGCAGGCTTCACGCTCCTGCCTGGCTCCCGCGTGCCCGCTCCCAGTGCCCCAACTCCAGCCACGTAACAGGTGGGGAGCAGTGCACAGCCCTGACCCTGCGCTCGTTGGCAAAGAATGAGCTGGTTCTCAACGTGGGAGAAAAGCCGTGCCCTACCCCGTCTGTCTATCCGTCGTCCCGTCCTGTCCCATCTCCCCCCCGCTCCCCCCCCGCTCTCTGGGGTTGGTGCTCCATGTTGCAGCTGCTTGCAGCCTGCACAGGACTGTCCTATCTCTCCGCCATGTCACTGCCACCTCGCAGGACAGCAATAGCAACCGAGAACAGGCACAGGCAGCTCTGCGTGGGCTCCAAGCGGTGGGGGGAGGAAGGTGGGGGGTGATGCTTTTCCCCCACCCTGAGCACCAGTTCATTCCACAGAAACTGTTGCTCGACATGGAGGAAAGTGCCCCCCCTTGTCACTGCCACTGGGCAGTGTTTGCTGCAACTGCACTCCCGGAGCTTGCGCTGCGCTAGGCTGCGGTGTGGCTCCTTTGCTGCCTCTGTGCTGCCCCGTGGCTGCCTCCTCATGGCCCCTGCTGCCGCGCTGGGCAGCACACAGGCGGCGGTGAAGCAGCTGCACTGCAGCCTAACGTGGTGTGAGCTCTGGGCGGGCAGTTGCAGTAAACATTGTCCAGCGGTGGCGAGCTTGTTTGATATAACCTTAATTCATATTTTTCATAACTCAGATAGATGTAGATTTCATTTTTAGAAGGTACACACTATACATTTGAAAGCAGTGATTTATTCTGATATTTTTTTTCAGATTAATTTTGCAGCTACATCAGAAAACTGAATTATAATTTGGTTATTTTATTTACCAAACCTAATTTGAAGCAGATACTTGTGAAGTCATTGAGAGGTGAACTATCTCCAATTCACTAGATTAATCATGGATATTTGGGGGATATTTTTGCTATGCTGTATTAGGAGGACATCAAATGAGCACTGCAGCTATATGTTATTAGCCTTAGGGTTTCTTCACTTTCTTCTAGATTTCTTCTCATCTTTGATTTCTCCTCTTTTATGGCCTGGTAAACCTGCTGCCTTGATAGGTTTTCCCTTCTACTATACCATTCCTTCGCTAGATTTGAAATCATTAGAGTTGTTGTAGCTCAGAAACGTATCCCTCAAGACTTCTGGAATAGTCTGCTCAACATGTTTCTCTTTTGTTTCTTTTCCCCTCCCTCTTTGCATTTATCTCCAGACTCTTCCTCCTTGTCCAGATCTACTCCATTCCCAACAACCCCTCTGTTCATTTAACTTCTTGAAACTTTGCAGTTTTAGAGAGGTGTAAGGGGCTTGACTCTGTGTACACAAACTTGTACAGAGACAATGGGGCTGCTGATGGGTAGGTAATCAGGTCTTTTATCTCTCATCTCCATGTACTGCTGTTAACAAGGATGTTATCCCTGGAGATGCAAATCCAGTTTGAGAACTGAAACTAAGCATCACCAAGATGCTTAATGGGATCTTCTAGAGCACTGAGTCCCGTTGGGTAGAGTGGTTTTCTTTAATCTTTACTAATCTATAGAGAAGCCTCTAATATAATCCATGACCTGTTGTGACCTATTTATAAAACTTTTCTAAAAAGGTTACGTGAATATATTGTCTCAAATAGTATCTAATTAGAAGTTATAATCCCTATTCCATGGTGATATTTTCAAGCTTTAACATATCTTAAATTAAAATTATCTTTTGTATAGGTTTATTTTTAAGCATCTTAAAATATGATTAAATAAAAAACATCTGATTTAAGTTAAAAAATCAGATTATTTATTTTTAACTGTTGATTTTTTTTTTTTTTTATCCACCCTGACCTACAGTAAAGCTGGTTCTTGAAAGGTCAGTTTGGATTCTGCAGCCTACCTCAGTCCCTGCTTTTGGAGACTTTGACAGTTTGGGCTTTGGAGGAAACTAGGGGAGAGTTGTGGATCTCCATATTTCGGCCCTCATATGGGATCAAAATGGGGCATGGATGGTATATTCCTAATGGACACTGCTATTAAAGTGTTTACCTATAGTTGGGACTACCGGCATTGCAGTATCTTGATGAATCTCTGTTGTTGCGTAAATAATTTCTCTTAGTGCTTGTGATGGCATGCATGTGATGCTAATTGGAATTCCAAGTACTTGATTCAGCTTTTGAACAAACACAGTATTTAGTTTTACTGGTACTTAGTTATGCAGTTGTGCAAATCATTGGATATGACATGGTCAAGATACTAAGAAAAATGCTAATGTTTATACTAATCACTACAAAAATGGTTTTGACAGTTGCATTGGCTATTAACTATTTCTTGACTAAAACACTTTTTAAATTAACTTACTAAATTAATTGAATTGTTTTCTTTATTTTTAGCATGTATAGAAAATATGATTCAACTAGAATAAAAGCAGAGGAAGAAGTCTTTTCAAGTAAGAGGTGCCTAGAATGGTTCTATGAATATGCAGGTAAGGTGATCTGTATAAATTACCTACTTTTGATCAGTGTTTAAAATGTATTGAAATTTAAGGGAAAATAATAAGTTAACTTTCTCTCATTCTTCAGGTGGTTCTAATTTGAATTGAGAGCCTTGTTGGTAAATCATAGTTTTTAGGAAGCAAATCTTTAAATATTGCTTTTTATAACTTGAAGCCAGAAAGTTCAAGATACTCTAGTGTCTGATGGAATATAAAGCACACTGGGATAAATATGTTAGATCACAAGGAGACCCTTCAAATAGTATTTCATTGGCTTTAAGCTACATGTAACTAAATAAACAAGCTAGTAACTTACCTTTTTAAATACAGTCAACCTTTTATATAGCAATGAAGTGTCATACTTAATTTATATTTCTAGCTGAAATATCTTTCTCTTGAGTTTAGTGCTCCAGTCAGAAAGCATGGATCATTTTCACCAATTGCTTTGCTGCTGAGAAACTTAAACCACTGCTATTGTGGATTTGTTTTCAAACAGGGAGGTGGGGAGCCACGTTCAGTTGGTCACTGCTATCTCTTGTTTCAGTTCTAAGCAGAAAACTTAATTCGTTGCTCAGATCAGAATTTTTCCCTTACAATAATTTTTCATTTTTAAGCATATTGGTCATTACATTTCATATTCCAGGCATGGGTGTGCATTGCATTTGTAGGGCTACAAAAATAGCATAAGCTCTACAGAAGTGTTGCTGGATGAAACAGCAGCGTCTGTGTACTGCTATATTTTGTAGCTCCATGTTTAATGTGTAAACACTGTAGGGTCTCACAGTCTTGCGGCATTCCACAATGCTGTTTCCTCTCCTCCCCCTCTCTCTCTTCCTCCCCCCCACAAGAGGGGAGGGAGGAAGAGCAAGGTGAACAGTTACTGAATGCTCCAATATGCTATTTCCTCTGGAAGCTGGGGAGTGGGTGGCAGGTTTGGGGGACTGGAGCTGCTTCCTGATCACTGACACTCCTGTGTTGAAGGGGAAGGTTTGGGGGTGGGGCAGAGGTGGTAGCTCCTTCCTGGGAATTGGGCACTGCTGTGTGCTCACTAACAGCCCTATCATACCTCCTTTGCAGTTACTTTGTATCTCTTCAGCTGGGGAGCTTGGCATGTCCCTCCACTTATGTAGCAGTACATTTTTGTGGCTCTTGAAAGTCTGTTGACACTTTTAGTGTTAAAAATGTAATGTCTATCCATGGCCTCAGTTTCACTGTGGTATATTAAACAGGTGTTGACTCAGTAAACTTCTTTTAGGGCTACCAGCTGTGAATTTTCAGCATAAATGGTACTCCACATGTTTTAACAAAAGTCAACTGATGTCCTGCTACTTATTTAAGCAGACTTGTCTGAAGGAAGCAGTTTGAAATGGGAGGGAAATAAATTTGTGGAGCCCCAAGGGAAACTAAAGGTGGCAGATGTAAGAAATGGGACTGATGTTTAGTTCTTTGATAGTATGTGTAGTACTTCAGGTGGTAAGTGGATGTAATCTTTTTTGCAGGTTCTGGCTTGGGTGTGTGTATGGCTCATACTTACTTCCTTAGCTTTTTTTAAAAAGAATTTTGGCTTTCCACTGGCTGCAAATGCAAGATGTAGACATAGAGCAATGGGGGATTGGTTCGGTTAGTAGTGGTGAATAATAGTTCTAGAAAAGGCATTCTCAAATGAGAATTTTAAGTATTTACTTGATAGGTTTTTTCCTGTTACACATGCCTTCAGTTAATATTGCCTTTATATTTTCCCCAGCATGACTTTTCCTTGAGAATAATTGGAGTCTCTTTAACCACTGTTTATGCTGAGTGGGAGGAAGTGATGGGAAAGACAACCTGTATAATTAAAACCTGTTGTTTCTAAATTGTTTTTACAAGATTGAAAAGGTCACCTAATAGGACAAGGTCAAATTCTGTTAGTTATTTTCTAAGCCTGTTCTTTGTTTTGTTTTGTATTGTATTCAAATTCCAGATTTCATGTAGAATTCCTCTAATAGGAGCCTTTTTACGACAGATAAAATTATCCTTATTCTAGAGGGATTTTCACCTCATTTAAAAAAAAACCCACAACTTGTATGTTGCACAGCATGAGTTGGTGGTATTCATAAATTCTGATCTCATTTCGTAGTGAGAGGTGGTGAGACTTTTGACTTACTGCTGCTGTTTTAGCTGTTTGCATTTTTCCCTAGTTTTTAACCCTGCAAAGCAATTGCTGGTTATAATTCTCTTCTGTTATGAAGTCTCCGTGGTGTGGCATGATATTGCAGTGTAAACAAAACAAGGTCATGAGACTTATTTCAGGTTTTTTTGTGGTGATTCTTTCAGCAGTAGTGCCCTCTGTTCTCCCTTGTCACTTGGTACAAATCAGGCTATTTGGACTCCTTCTCCTCTTCCAGGTCAATTGCCAATTCTTTTCCCAGGTCAAAAAGATTCTTCAGATCCAGGTTCAAGACTGAGTGACTTCCATGGTACTAATTCATTGTCTTTTCTCACTGAAGGAGGGCTTTTACTTCTCATTCATTTCATCAGTTGGATAACCTCTGAGATTTTCAGGATTTGATGCAATGTATGGTCCAGGCCCAACAGATTTCTCATGAAGAAGTCACCATGCCTGCTGACCAGCTAGTTGACATACCTGTTCTAAATCCACTTTTCTTGACAGGGAGGTCTTAATAGACCTGGCCAAGTTCTGTAGGATTCCTGCCTTGGGTTCTGAGAATTGGAAGAGGGTGGACAAATGGTGCCAAGCCCTCTTCAGAAAAACGGGTTTTTTTATATTCACCCATTATACTCCTCCTTTTGATGGTAGCATGGCAAATAAAAAAGCCAAACAACTGCATTGCATTTGTAACAAAACAGCTCAAGCTTGTTGACATATTTGTTTGGATGTTCTATTCTTCATCCAGCCTTTGATTCTAAAAAATTAATTATTTAAGCTCTTCTGGCTCTGTGTGACTTAAGTGTATGGGTGGTAGGAGGACATCGTCAGTACCATTATCTCCCTTGTCTTTACCTATGAAACGTTGTCGGGTGGGTGATCTCAGTGTTTCTGGTGCTTTGCCTTGTAGTTGTGTGCGAAGGTTTGAAGTGATTTTTTTCTAGAATCATAGGGCTGGAAGGGACCTCCAGAGGTCATCTACTTCAACCTCCTACCTGAGGCAGGATCATCCCTATTTGAACCATTCCATGCAAACCATAATCTAAACTCTACATAAGACTACCATCAGCCATGACACAAGACAGACCTAAGACCCCAACCTGCCACAGGTAAAGCAGGGGAACCATGGCAGCCAACGTGTATGAGATGTTGTCAATATATGCTCAAGAGATCCTGGGTAGGGGGCCAGGCCCCCCACTACAGAGGAAGGCAAAAATCCCCACAGTCCATACCAATCTGACCATGGGGTAAAATGCCTTCCTGATCCAAAATGTAGTGATCAGTCTGACTCTCAGTAGAGGAGCAAGCTAGGAACCTTTGGCTTTGGTCCCAGCAGGAACATTGGCAACACACTTCAGTCAGAGGCCCCAGCCTTGGCTGTAGCCAACACCAAATGCCTCTAGGAAGCCACCTGCAATGCGATGCAGCGGCTAGTAAAGCGACCAAAACGCTGGCTTGGATCCATAGATGCTTCTCAAGACAATCCCGGGACGCGATTCCTCAAGCAAATCCCGGGACGTCATTCTCCCCCTGTGCTCGGCCTTAGTGAGGCCGCAGCTGGAGTACTGTGTCCAGTTTTGGGCTCCACAATTCAAAAAGGATGTGGAGAAGCTCGAGAGAGTCCAGAGAAGAGCCACGCGTATGATCACAGGTCAGGGAAGCAGACCCTACGATGATAGGCTGAGAGCCCTGGGGCTCTTTAGCCTGGAAAAGCGCAGGCTCAGGGGTGATCTGATGGCCACCTACAAGTTTATCGGGGTGACCACCAGTATCTGGGGGAATGTTTGTTCACCAGAGCGCCCCAAGGGATGACGAGGTCAAATGGTCACAGACTACTTCAAGATCGTTTCAGGCTGGACATAAGGAAGAATTTCTTTACTGTCCGAGCCCCCAAGGTCTGGAACAGCCTGCCACCGGAGGTGGTTCAAGCGCCTTCATTGAACACCTTCAAGACGAAACTGGATGCTTATCTTGCTGGGATCCTATGACCCCAGCTGACTTCCTGCCCTTTGGGTGGGGGGCTGGACTCGATGATCTTCCAAGGTCCCTTCCAGCCCTAATGTCTATGAAATCTATGAGAAACACCCTGACACATATGTTACCAGCAAGATTTTTCACTGTGGGACTGACATGGTCACTTGTCCGATTTGGTATGAAGCAAGCTTTAATAATAATCCCAAGACTGTAGAGAAAATATAGCTGCACATACAACCTGACAGGCAGCATAAGAGTTTCATAACAATGGTCTTCAGTGGGCCAGTCCTCTGATCCTTTGCTGCATGCATGATGTTCTTAGGTGTCTTTTGACCCAATTTCAACAGGAAGGAAACAGCAGCTACGTCTGTCTCCCCAGTATCACAGCCAGCTCGCACGCACACACCCACCTGTTTCATGGTTTTATATTGTGCGGTTGCTGCTTCCCAGTCATTGGCACCAATTATCAATCAAGCTTATCAGATGGTTGGCAACCGTCGATCCTTCTGGATCATGGTGTATGCGTGACAGGTCACCCAGACCTTTGAGACATATGCCTAGGCAGTAGTATGGAGGAGTGGAGGCTACCCAGATTTTTCATCTCCGCTTTAGGCCATTGAGACGGAATCCAAAGGCCAGACTGAGTCCAGACATTTGGTGCCTCCATGAGTGTAGTTGTATAAGCATCTAGGAATTGAACCTGGGCCTCTTGTGTGGCAGACAAGGATTCTGCTACTGAACCAAAGGGGAGTCCAATTAGGCTTATATTTTTACTATATATAGTCTTTAAACAGAAGATGCACGGAAAATGACTGTGATTGCCAACTTCACATTTAATTTATAGCATCCTGCTTCCGTCTTGGGCCTAGTT